TAATCAGAATGAAAAGAACCACACAAAATCTCACCCAAGGCCCATGGATGTGATATATACTGCTGACAAATTACTATATGTGATTATATTGTCGGGTAATCCGTGGAACCTGCAATAATATTAAATATATTGATTAGTTTAAATTATCTCAACTATCACAATAAAATAAAGCAAGATCGAGTATACGAACCTAATCAATGATAAGTCTCATGGCGCACACAACAATGTATCAAAAATGCTCAACTAACAAAATAAGAACGTGATATATAATAAATCCTTTTATAATTTTGTTATTTTTTCATATCAAAAAGGAATGACTTACTCAGTCTTGCTATCATGTGAAAGTTTTGCGCCCTGCTAAATGAATGTTTGTTGATGAGTTTAGAATCTCAACTATCACAATGAAACGTGACAACAGTATAATATCAAATAAGACAAAGATGGGGTGAAACATGCTCCACTAACACAGCGAAACGTGAGAACTGTATTGGCGCACGCAACAATACGTCAAACCATACTCATCTAACTAGAAAAGAAATGTAATAACCGATTAATTCTAATATTATAGCATATCTTTAAATCTGAAGCAGAGTTGATTTTTTTTTTTTGATTTTATTAATTGAAATGAAAAAAAAAAGTAAAAATAAGCCAGTTTAGTAATGGTGTAGAGAACTTTTCTCATCCTTCTGAATGAATGCTGAATATTTTTACTAATCATGTTAAAGAGTGGGAAACAGAATATAAGGCCCAGTAACCAATCTTACCACTTCCATGATTTTCTTTCACAATCCGCCATGACGGCTACAGAACTTCGAAAAAGGGGATTATAATACTAAACACACTGGACAATAGAAGTGTCACCTCTACTGAACCAATACTATGGGGGAGATAGATGACTGTGGAATGATATGCTCCTGGTATCATTTTATTAACATCAAATTTCACAAAAAAACACAAAATGAGAACAAAATATACATTCTACCAAAATATGCAGTTTCAAGTCCAAAATTAGTACTTAGTGGCATTGCCACGTGACCTAATAATAGGTGCCAGTCTACGAGGCAAGGATTCATATAATTGTCTGATGCGTTCAGGGCTTATGCTGGCCCAAGCATGAAACACTGAATATAACAGAGTTTCTCTGCTGGATAGACGGGCATTTGTCAAAATTTTGACATATCATTCCACACATTTTCTATTATGTTTGCATCCTGACTCTGGGCAGGCCACATCACCCTGCGAATGTCCTGTTGGTCAAACCAATCATCAACTGCTCTGGGCCTGTGACAATTAAGGAGCATTGTCATCCTGGTGAACAAATGGATAATTCCTGACACCAAACATGTTAGTAATAGATGGTAGCAAGCCTGACTCCAAAACATCGATATATTTCTAGTGATTCATGTTTCCATCAACCACTATCAATTCGCCCACGCCATGGATGCTGATGCAGCCCCACACCATGATGAATATGCTGCTCCGGGTTCGAAAATTCAGAGCATGTGGTTCAAATGCTTTACCAGCAGTTCGCCAGCATCGTACCCGTCTGTCATCAGAGGTCAGACCAAAGCGACACTCATCAGAAAAAAAAAATATAGGACCAATTGTCATGGACTGTCCAGTTCCAGATCCTGTTGACCCTAGTTCACTCTACGTTGCCTGTTTTGTAACGATATAAGAGGTTTCAGTCTTGCTACCCTGCTGTACACAATATGAGCATGTAACCGACGCCTAGCAATTTTCACAGGCACATTCTTACGTGTGAAATTGTTCCACTGTGTTGTCAGCTGACAAGCAGTGTCGAACTTTGACAACCTGGACATCAAAATCAGTCGTCGGTCTTCACGACCAGTAGTTTTTCTTGGACGACCCATCAGAGACACTTTGTCTTTTGATCCAGGGATCCAGGGATCCAGAGACCAGACCCTTTGCACGGTTCTGACTGAACAATTCAATTGTATCGATATTCTGACATTGCTTATATTTCGCCTTGCACCTATAACCGTAAGATAATTGCCTGTGTCTTGCCATAT